GGGTAGACTGATCTCTAGAGGCGGCCTGCCGAATGTGGGTCCCGGATATGGGGGATGGGCTATCTCTACCCAACAAAAAGTATTTCCAGGGATTCTTAAAGCTCTCTCCAAAAGTATAAAATATTATGGACTTTCAAAATCGTAAGCATTCGCATTCTTTCTGAGACCAACACAGGATACAAATCTTACTCCCAGCACAGATGGTTACATGCATTTGGGCACACATAGCCTTAGAACAGTGGTGAAATAGCTCACAGGATCCTGTACTCCTCGTCATCCTGGACTGTGATGGTGACCACAGCCAGACCATACCCCCTTCCCATCTGCCTTCCACATCAGATTCCCTGGCATTTATTAAGCTGTCACTCTTTGCTGGGTTCTTCCTTGGAGGACTCCAGCTCATTCAGTAAGTCTTTTCCAGCTGCTCCAGCTTTTGAAGCAAAGAGAACTGCTCCCTGCTTAAAACCGAGGCTCTTCAGACTCCGGGCATAATCTGCATATACAGCAGTGAGGAGTTTCTGTAAACCATAGTTAAGGAAAAGAAGAATAAAAGGGGCTGTGATGAGGCTTCCCCATGGGCTCCCAGAGGCAGGAAAGATGAGTCACCTCTGCTCTGCTGGCTGCTCAGAAGGGACCTGGCGTCCACAGCGGGCAGCACAGGATGAACACAGCAGCCTCTTTGCGGGTGGAGGGTGATTCAGGCTATAGGAGGCCATGTCTCAGTCTGTGCCATTATCCCCTTTCACACCAGCTGAGTCCATAGCTTCTCCTTCAAGAGAACCCAACCAACATCCTTCCATAACCTATACTCAACTAAAGACTGGAAGATGAATGATAAACTTAACCTGCATATATCCGCATTCCATTTGAAAGTCTGAGAGGCTAGCAGTTTGGGGGCAGATATTTATTTCTCAAAGTTCCATGTATCTGGATGTTGTGTTTCAGAAAGCCCTGTCCTGTTGTGTTTTTATTTTTTATTTTTTTAAACAGCCTATTGGGTATTCTGTGCTGATGCTTTGATCTTCAAAATGGATACACTGGACCAGTCACCTTCCCAGTGACTAGGTATACATAATCTTGAGTAGGCTCAGGCTTTAATTTTTTAAAACTTTCAGTGTAGGGCTGGGTAGCTCGTGCCTGTAATCTCAGTACTTTGGGAGGCCAAGGTGGGAGGATCGCTTGAGCCAGGAGTTCAAGATCAGCCTGGGCAACACAGTAAGACCCCATCTCTGCCAAAGAAAAAAACAGCCAGGCATGGTGGTATGCAATTGTAATCCCAGCTACTTGGGAGGCTGAGGTGGGAGGATTGCTTGAGCCCAAGAAGTTGAGGCTGGAGTGAGCCATGATCATGCCACTGCACTCCAGCCTGGGCAGAAGAATGAGACGTTGCCTCAAAAAAAGAAAAACAAATGTTTTTAGTTTGGTTTTAGTTTAATTTTCTTTAGAAAAAAACAAATTATAAACACACACACAGAGTGAGTGTGTATGTGAGAATGAGAGAGAGAGAGAGAGACAGAGACAGAGACAGAGACAGAGACAGAGACAGAGAGAGACAGAGAGAAATAACCAAGTACCTGCCATGTAGACATGAGAGCTTAAAACCAAGCTTCCTGGAAGCGAAGTGCAGCGAGCGGCAGCAGGGCTGCACAAGCACTGCCCCGGGAGCGGCATTCTCAAGTTCATTCTTTTCAAAGAAACTGATGTTGCTCAACCGACATTTAGAAGAAACAAAATGCCCTGGCTGGTCTGGTGGGTGGATCAGAGTGGCTGGCCTGAGCAGTATCCCTCTTCAAGTGCTGTAATTTTGTTCCATTTTATATTGCCACTAGGGGTGATCACGGAAGTCTTTTTTTAGTTATTCCAGTGTATTTTTTTCTAGATAAATATATACAATTTATTCTATGGAATGCCTGGTCTTGAACAAGTACTATTTGAAAGTACCAGGTCCTTCTACCTGTTTCCCAAATCATTCCTTCATCTTCTTTTTAAGTTCAAACAAGACTTGGGGGCCCCGTTCTCTAGTCCTTCCTGCTTCCCTCCATCCTAGTCAGAGCTGATGCCAGTGGTGCAGCCACCTTCTTTTCTGATTCTTTCTCCTCCAATTTCTCCCTCTTTCCTGGCTTTGGTGAATCAGAAAATCAGAACATGGATCTTTCACAATATAATATAGCTCCTGTCCAGGCAACACAACTAAGAGAAATTCCAAAATCCATGCAGGCCACTTTTTTCCTCGTCACTATAAGCAACCTCGCAAAGGATATCTGTGTCCTCAGTGACTTCAAATGCTCCATACTTAAGGCAAGCTTCCACAAATAAGGCTGCTCTATCAAAGTATCTCATGCTGCTCAACAGAACAAAACAAGAGTTACACTTTGTGATTTATGTCACTGGTGGGCAGCACCATTGAAGGGTATATTTCTGTATAAAGACATTTACACATTTTCCCTGCATAAGATACGAGCACTTTTCTAAGCCCTGGTTTATTAAAAAAAGGAGGGAAGAATAGTCACATCTCCAAACCCAAGCTTTAAAAAATCAATACTTAAAAGTATTATGAAATAGTTTAAATACACAAAAGTCTAGAGATATGACAAGTGCCCATGTATCCACTGTCCATAGTTGACAAGTCACCTTTTGTCATATTTCTTCAATCTACCTCCCTTAGTTTTGAATACATGAAATGCCCCACAATTAGTGATGGTTGCTCCTCTTCGATTTTTAGACAGGACATCTCCCCCTCATCATGCCTTCTGTTACCTATCCTCCTGCTCTCTGGGCCTCCTCTCAGTTGCTCTAGTCAAAGCAAAATGGACCCCAATTCTCTGAAGACTTTTAAATTCCTTTTTACTAGGTGCCAGTTAGGTTTGACCAGTACATTAGTAGGAAACGATCATAGCTCCT